AAAAAAAATACAGATATGAGCAACATTTTATAATGAATTTCTGGGGTCTTAAAAACCTAATAAGCCCATGCATAAAACTGGGATGCAAAAGTAGAAACCCTGATTCTGGAAAGCATGTTTTTAATGATGGAATGGGGAGTGGCCAAAGGAAAGTGGTCTAAATAGGGACTTAAGATATAGTGTGTGAGGCTAAATAATATTCTTCTGAAACTAAGGATTTCCTATAGCCTAAAGCTGACTTTCTCCTCAACCATTTTTAGCCCTTCCTTATATAAAAAGTAAACAAAGCAAAACAGAATAGGGATTGGAATTCTGTCATTGAATTTATGTAGTTACGTGGCCTTGGACAATCAATTAACCCATCATAAACTCAGTTTCCTGATCTGTAAAATAGAGATAATATCAAATTCAAAATGTTATCATAAGAATTAAATATAATAAAGTCATAAGTTCAAGAAGTTAAAAATGTTGTAAGTTCAAAGCAAGCCATCAAATTATATGTATTATTTTATTTACTAATACATATTAGTTTTATATCTGCTTTTTAGTGTAATTGTAATTGTTTGACAAAAAACTCCCTAACATAAAACACGTTTAGATTGAAAATATTTTAGAGACTCTCATCAGTGACTTACTGTCTTGTTAGTTATTTACTGATAAAATTATAATGTTGGATAAATCCGAGATATAGTAATAAAATGAAAACAAATTGCCGGAACAAAATTTTAAAGAAGTATTACAGGTAAATGCTTAACAATTGAGCTTTCTGTAAAAATTTTCACATTATTAAATTAAACATTTTTTATTTTAGAAGTAAGCTGTTTCTGAATTCCAGTGTAATCTGTTGTAAATCTTTGTTTTACTTAGGATTGTTAGTAAAAGTCTAAAAATTTGTATTAACAAAATGTTTCTTTTTTGACATTTCAGAGTACTGATGATTCAGATATATCTATCATTGCCCAGAACAAGAAATGCTTTGACAATGATATTGTTTGTTCTAAAAGCGTTTTGATTTCAGTTGGCAACACTGAAATTTACCTAAATGATAGTCCTTACAAGCAGGTTGGTGAATTTTTTGGTAAGATCATTTTAAATTGTCCCAAGGTAACTGGAAATATAGTGGAAATGCTTTGGCTACTTCTGTTTTTTTTCTCTTTTGTTTATTAATTATGTTGGTACATTTAAGGTATACAGTATAATGACATTCATCATTGGAAATTTGTACCTTTACATAATCCATCTTGGTTCTTATTTTTTCCCCATTTCCCTGCCCTCCCTTCAACCCCTCCAACCCTCCCTATCTACAAAGACTTTGTTTCCATTTTTTCTTTTTCTCGTATTAATTCTATTCCCTACTTTCTTTTCTCCTACCTTTCCCACTTCCCCTTTGCCCCTTTGCTTCCTATTTCACATTATCTATTATACCTTTTAGTCCTTAGTTACACTTTCAGTTTCTCACACTAGAGAAACTATTCGATATTTACACATGTGTGTCCTATTTATTTCACTTAAGAGTATGGTCTCAATGTGCATCCATTTAGCTATAAATGTCTCTAATTTCTCATTCTTTATGGCTGAGTAGTACTCCATTTTATAAAAACCCCACATTTTCTTGATCCAGTCTCCAGTTGATGGGCAATGGAGTTGTTTCCAAGTTTTAGTTATCACAAATTGTGCTGCTATGAACATGGGTACACATATATAACTGTGGTATGATTCTTTTAATTCTTTGGGGAAGATACCCAGCAGGGGAATAGCTGGGTCAA